CACAAACGAACCAAAATTCCGACACTTTCACGTGCAAACTGTGTGATTCTATATCTCATGCAGGCTTTTCCGCAGTAATGATAGTAACTTGAACGTATCGTTAGTTTTGTAACTAGTGCCTAAGAAAGAGCTCTTTTCTTTTAAGAAGCAATAACTTATAACACTTTTAGAATTAAGTTGTCAGAGTTAAAGGCTGCTTCATTAAAGTAGAATCGCACGAGACAACCTCGTGAATAATGACGATGCAACCATCTACAACAATGATGAAAATCGTGACATTTCTTAGCTATTCGGTATTCGACAAGTTTCACTATCTTAAGAAACCATGAAGGAAGCTTGAAACCTTCGAGTCGTCACTCTATAGACCTTGTCATGGTTTTCGACGCCATCTTGACGAGTAGACAAACGTGTGAGAAACTACAGTGTTTGTATGAGAATCTCATGTCGAATAATTTCCGTAAAACGGCTGTTCTGAAAAAATATGAATTCTAAACTACAGCTACGAAGCAAGGGATTGTCCTAAAATATTTTGGGGGCGTACTTGTGCTTAAATTTCTCCAGAGGCTTGGTTTAGATTTTCCATATATTTGTCTGTAATTTTTCCCAGGACTTTCTTACAGACAAACGGATAGAAAATTTAAAAAAGTGGTTCTAGGACTTCTAGCGCATGTAACGTTCTCAATTTTTTTTTCAGTAAAATCCTTAGGAATGAAGCTTTAGTTTACAATCATATTTGTTTCAGAACAATTTTTTGGGGGCCGTTCTACAGAAATTATTCGGCATTAGATTCCCATACAAAAACTGTAATTTCTCACGCACTTGCCTACGAGTCAAGATGGCGTAGAAAACCGTGACAAGGTCTATTAAAGCAACGTTTGGTGAGTAGATATTCATAGTACTTTTAATTAACAATTTGTTTATTTTGCACCAGATGTCTGAAGGAAAAACAGAAAACTGAAGTCTAAAGTATGAGGATTGAATCAGCTATGCGCAGTGGTTCTCGTTTTCATTAATGTGCAGCTATACCCAATTTCGCACAAAACAAAACATAGCCGTAAGGTGGCTCGGTACAGTTTTTCAGGGTCAATACCTCCCAAGTTTGAGCATAAACTACGTCGCCATAAAACAAGTTTTGGAAAAATTGCAACCACAGTTATATTAGATAAAGATGAAAATTTGTTATGATCAGGGTTGCAACGACATCTGAGTTGTCATAGCAACGAAATGACGCTTTTACCTATTTTACTTGCAGCAGTATATCTCGGCACTGGGAACTGTTCTTCCAAAACGTTCACGGGAGCTTTTTCCTCCAATAGCGGCCTCGATGTTCGTGACGTTTAAGCGAAATCTGTAAGAGCGTTATCGAGATATTCATTGGAATGAAGTTTTATGGTTAGAAACAGAGTAAAAAATGGACAATATCGTTGTTTGGCTGTTATCTGTAGAAAATGAAGCGCTTTTGACATGCAATTTCACCTCATAGTAGTTTCAATCTTTTTAAAAACGTGTGTAAAGATCATGGAGATAGCTCCAGCCGATTGCTAGAAAGAAGGGTTTGATTAGTATGGATCGAAGCGCTCTTGTTAGCGGTTTTGTAAACATTTTGGTCTTTTTTAACAAATAAGCGAATAATTTTTAAACAACTCGATATATTTTTTTAAAAATTTAAGATTCTTGAGATTATCCTTCCTTTTATGTGGCCTTTTAGTTTCCAGGTTATTGATATATGGTAAGGTAGTAAAATAAGGGCTAAAATTCGTTACTTTTTTTATCGGAAGTTTCGTCATTACAAGTGAAAGCCTCTCATTATTCAAGACATTGTCTCCAAGTTTTATTTTCACGTGAAAAGCAGTAACTAACAATGCATTTGAAATTTGCCAAAATGCTAGCTATTGTTGTGAACGAAAATATGAAACTTGGAGACAATATCCTGAATAATGAGAGGCTCTCAATTATTGTAAACACAAAATTTCTGACAAAATATTAAGGAATTGTAGCCCTTATTTTACTGCCTTACAATATATCAATAACTTGAAACTAAAAGGTCATATAAAAGGAAGGTTAATCTCAAGAATCTCAAAGTTTTTAAAAAATCTATCGAGCGGTTTATCAGTTATAGACCAAAATGTTCAAAAACCGCTAACAAGAACCCCACGATACATATTGATGAAATCCTTTTTTCTAGCAATCGGCTAAAGCTATCTCCATGATCTTTCACACACGTTTTTAAAAAGATTGAAACTACTATGAGGTGAAATTGCATGTCAAAAGCGCTTCGTTTTCTAAAGACAGCCGAACATCAAGATTGTCCATTTTTTTACCGTATTTCTAACCATAAAACTTTATCCCAACATATCTCGATAACGCTTAAACTTCACGAACATTGACGAGGCTGTTGGAGGAAAAAGCTCCCGTGAATGATTTTGGAAGAACAGTTCCCAGTGCTAAGAAATACTACTGCAAGTAAAATAGGTAATAGTATCATTTCGTTGCTATGACAACTCCGTTGTCATTGCAACCCTGATCATAACAAATTTTCATCTTTACCTAACACAACTGCGGTGGCAATTTTTCCAAAACTTTGTTTATGGCGACGTAGTTTATGCTTAAACTTGGTAGGTATAGACCCTGAAAAACTGTATCGAGCCACCTTAATACAGGATTAAAAGTAGATTTGTCAAATGAAGCCTAACATCTACACATCACAGTGTATGCATTGTAATTGCCATTTGATATGTATCTTTTTTTCTGTCGGATAGCTGACACAACCAACTTTAATTTGCTCGTTAAAGCTAATTTTCCTTGAAATTAAATGTTAGTGAACAGAGACCAGCTGTGAGAGACGCTTTCAAGAGGAATAACGTAAATGAAGCTTAGCTTTTGAACGCGAAATATCAGCTCGTCACGCTAGCTGCGCATCGCTTCATATTGGCGATTTGGACCGAGAATTGATTTCTTGACTTGGTTAAAGTATTGAGTACAGAGAATTAAATTGGTCAACTCGAGATACTGTAGTCTTAAATATTTATTCATATTTGTATCAGGTCAAAAGGGTCTTGTAGGAATATCGTATATATGTGTGTAACATTCCATCAAATTTGCATTCATTTAATGGAATGGCCGTCAAATCACCGACTGCAGACTGGTTATATTAAAACACGGACTAGAGGCCCCTACAAGCCAGGTATAAAACGCACACTACGTTAAAACAGCCCTTGGTGTTCTTTTAGAACATCTAGAGCTTTTAAAAATGAGTAAATGTAAAAATGAGATAAATATAGATTGCGGACCAGGACATTAAAAGCAGTACTAAGGGGTCCTCTCGTCCCACGCAGACATTCTTTTGGCTCGTCACGCAATCTCTCCTTCCAAACATGTGATTAAAGGGACGCGATCACGGTTATGCGCATGCGCGCCGTTTGTCTCTTCAGAATATTAAAATTTGTTGGGTAAACACTAAATTCGAAATCGCCATTACCGGTATAATCATTGAAAATCCTTCGTTTTATTCCGACATCCGTCGCTTTGGCTGGCCTAGTTATACTTCGGTGTTGGTGATTAACCTGTGGTTGTGTTGTCTGCCTGGTTACGTTTCAAGAAGACGCAAAAAATAATGTTTTGATCATGGAGGTTCAGAAGAGCATCGTGGTCGTCAGGCAACAGGACGTTCTCAAGGGTCTTTGGAGATAGAGAAGCTTAGCCGATCGATCTGGTATGGTTCTAGGAGTAGTGTGTGGCTTACGAAATGAATACACGGCACTTGGAAAGTGGTTAAAGGCATGAGTTCGTTCAACTTTGATTTGATTTTTGACTCCGACCTGTAGTTATACCGCAACAGGCCGCCCGATCTTCAACGATCTGGTACACTTGAAATGTTCTTTGTATCTTTGCTTTACGATGGTATATGTTCAAGAATTGATGTTTTTAAAATAAATTATTGCCTGAATGTTCTGTTTATAATCTAGTTTCTTAATGTGTTCTACTCGATAACATTTGTTTTGCGGAACGCTGACCCAATGCAACGCGAATGAATTTGTTCATTTGCTGATAAGCAATTGAAGTTTATGCTAGATTAAGGATAATCTTTATACTCATACGTTGTGTGTTTTTGTCACCGGTCAGGCGTTATTTGTAGGTATTTCTGGGTTTATATAAGGCGAACTGAGAGAACAGTAATAAAATATTTGTTTACAAATTTTGTTTGCCGATCGGTGACTGCTTTGTTAGCGTAGGTACGACCTCGTAAAAATACACATTGGTAAATGTTTGTTTCAAAGCAGAACAGCCCAGGGCTGTAAATCTTATTGTTATCGGCTGCAACATATATCTGAGGAGCAGCAAAGAATAAACTTGAATTATGGGGATATGTAAAATCAAACCAAACGCCAGGAAATACTCTCGCTTCGCGAACAATGAATTTGAATTTTGTAAATTTAGTTGCGTGCATCTAACTCACTTCCGATTGGTTTAAAAACAATCAGCTACTGTCAGAACTCACACATGTGCATTATCGTGAACCAGTCCCTTTAAACCCGAAGAACGTCTGGGTAAAAGCTAAAAAATGTAATACAGATGTCCTGCGCAGGTATAGAAAAGCTGAAGATGGTATATAGAACTCAAATAAACTGAGATATGTTTAAACCTTTATTTAGTGCTTCTTCTTAGCTTTAGACCTTTCATTGATTTTGGTTACATTATTTCGCTGACTCGTTTAGTCGAAACAAAATAACAAAATTTTCAAATGTCTGGTCAGATCCAAGTGCATAACCTATACTGACTTAGGCCTAGTTATAGAGCTAAATGTGACTCTTTGACTGAAGGGTCTCATGTGGCTTCTCCAAACATAGGGAAAAAATTAATTTGCAACTAACCAGTAGGGACTGATGTTTTAAGTGTTAAAAAAACTTCAAGCTAATTATTTCAGTAAAATATAATTCAGTTATGTTTGCATCCCATTTCCTAGTAATATGATGAGTGATTCATACGTCTAAGAGAAAAAAATGGCGGCCGCTCCAGATCCAGAAGAAATCCTTCGTTCGACGAGTGGAAAAGAAAATTTCCAGCGCATTACACGACTTTTAATAAGTGGAGGGACCAGCCTACTGAGGGAGATTTTTGACTCAAAATGTCCTCCAAGTAATCTTCCTACGATTCTCAGCAATCCAGTAACAAAAAAAAAGATAAAAGGTGCAAAACTTACCCTGCCACAGTGGCACTGTCTTTGCCCTTCCCCAGGGGTGTACGGCAAGTCAGCAGATTTTGATGTCACTCTGCTAGTCCGTTTGCTGAGGACAATATGCAACCTGACCCCTCCCTCCACAGGATGGGATGCACAACCAGCTGGTACAGATCACAGTTTAACAGCTGATATAGCAAGAATAAAGTATTACCGAAACTCGGTGTATGGTCACGTGAACCAAGGTATGGCAATCAGAGATAATGAGTTTAAAACACTTTGGCAAGAAATCAGTGAAGCTCTCGTGAGGATTGCTGGGCAGATCAGTTCTACAAGGAAAACTGCATGGCAAGGAGCCATTGCTAAATATTTGACAGATCCTCTTACAACTGAAGATGAACGGAATGTGCAAGAACTTAAGGCATGGTATAAAAGTGATATGGAGATCAAGAAATCCATAGATGAAGTCAGTGAGCGGATAAGTCATTTGGAGGTAGGGCTAAAAGCAAACAAAAAAAGACAAACAAAACAAAACCCAAACATAAATTGACATTTCCGTTGTGGAGAGAACTTTAAGGCTTTCAAATTCAATAGATTTATGCTGTTTGATAAAGCCAAGGAGTTACTGGGTTATTTTTAAATTTACTCATTTAGTGCAATATAAAGCAGCTTCTTTTTTGTCCCAGATATGGTGACTAATGACAGTTTGAATTTTACACTCAGACAGCAGTTCATGAAGGAACCGATTTGATGGAGGCAACAGTTTGTAAGGAAGCAAAAGAAATTAAAGATCATCTGGAAGAGATGAATCAGTCGATAGACACACTTAGGGGTGAGTTTCTTAAAACATTACTCCTTTGCTCAGGGAACCGAGAGTTACCCAATTGTGGTCACCTCTATTAAAGGGCCACCATTCGCTTGATACACTTACTTTGGCTTTGTGTTAAGAATGAAAGAAAGTACAATCCGAGAAAGAGGGTGATGACTGATTGTGGGCCAATTCTGTTCCCGTCACGTGTTTGTTTCAAAATAAAGTGATGTTTCTTCTAAAGGTTATTTTACGACGAACCTCTATTGGAATTCCGAGGAAAATTTTGACCTATTTACATACTAAGCAACGTCCACCTTGGCTCCACGTCTCCTTTTTCAACCATTTTAACCAACCCTTAACAATTTAACAATATTGTGGCACTCACACGTGCCAGACACAAAAAATACTCACATACGCGCGATACAACGACCTCCAAGTGTACGCTTCGAAAGCGTCTTGTTTCTATTTCAGGCGGAAGGAATCATCATGGCCGAGCGGTTAGAACGCTGGATTTGCAATCCCGAGGCCCCGAGTTCAAGTCCAGCCCTGACCGCTAGCCTCTCGAGTTTTTTCCGGGGGCTCCGATTAAGATTGATAAACAAGCTATCAGTTATTATTGGTAAATCGGTGTTTCATAGCAAAAATTATCGTTTATTGTTTTCGGTCGGCTGAGTGGTTTTTTCTCGGCTTGCGCGATAGTTTATGTAACACGATTGTCGTCGGCTCTGGTTATTTATCTGCATTTGCTTTGTTACACAATATATTGTGGTATTCAGTGTAACGTGGTCACGTTCTAATAAGCCTTCTTCTAGCATATTTTTAACTGAAAGGAAGCAATTGAAGTTCACTGGTTTGAGAGATGACATCACTTGTGTCGTGTTCGGCCGTACCGCCTCCGTGGTTCACAGTGACTTACCGTTGATAATCAACTAAGAAAGACCTCTACAAGGCAAAATTGAGATTATTTGGCACTTTATTAACATAAAAAACAATTTTTTTCTCTCTTTGTCGCAGATTATCTTTCGCATAAAAGTATAGTGCAACGGCATTTTTGACGAAAGTATTGTTTCCACAGGGTACCAAACCAAGTTGGAAAATTACGGAAATTCCAGTGGGTAGGGGGATATGACAAGCATCCCCTGGTTGTGGATCTAGAACAAAAGTGCCCTCCGTAAGGGGTATGGATATTTTTTGGAACACAATGAATAGATTATCCTCGCAGTAAAGAGAGTCTTAATGGTGTGGAAGAACTGACAATTTTGACGGTTGACGGTTATTAAGTGGACATTTCGTCCTAGAATTTAAGTAGATAGATATGACTCCTGTATAAATTAATTGGAACTGTTGTGTTTTGGATCGAACTGGATGTTGTGTTGGCCTTTCACTTATATAAATTTGAAACATAATAGATATAAGCAAGTTGCAAGGTCTTCCAATGTCTAGAAAAAGTGTTTTTGAGAAGTGAAGATCAACTGAAATAGTGAGATTTGCAATGCCCGAAAAATTCTGGGTTGTCGGGAAAACCCTGACCTCTGCGACGTATGAAGAAATGGTCTATTGTACCGATCTGAATTTGCTAATTAACGTAAAAGAATAGTCCCTTGGTTCCAGGTGAAACCTGCCCAGACCAAGCCGAAGCTTGTTTGGATAATCGGAAACCTTGGGTGTGACAAACTGGTGAACCGGGGGTGGGTATACATTTCACAGTGAAGAATGAAATTTCACTGGGGAACTGGCGGGAGAAGTTGAACTTCGGACAAATTTAGCCTGGAGAAGTGTTGAGTGTTTTACTTGATTTTTTTTTTGCTTCAGGTTCCTAATCACACATTTATACCGGTGCAGCGCTCTAACCAATTGAGCTAGCAAGCCAGCTGAGAGCTGGTCATTAATTGTTGGTAATATTCCCGGGAAAGATGAAGACGAAATGATGAATATCTGAATTTCATATATTTGAACCGCGGAATTAAAAAAAAACAAATGAACAGAACATGATCATTGCGGTGAAAGACGCGACTTTGCGAAAACAAAGCCTGAAAAATTTAGGCTTTGCCGGAATTTGATTGGAGCTTGTTATTTTTTGTGAAGTGAAATAGAGAAACAGTTTACAATCACATCAATTGGTCGTCTACATCCACCTTTAACAGATATTTTTTATGTCATTAGCCCTTCTTAGATTAAAGATTGACTGTGAGGCCATTTCTGGACCTGGTCTGCAACAAGGAGCTACGGTGATGATAGGGCAGCCACAGGAATCCCAAGGAGTGATCAAGGAAGGTGCAGTTGCACCGGTCACCTCAAGTCAGTCACAAGTGTCAAACACAACTGCTTCCCTAAGCGGGAATGTCACAAACGGTGCCATTCCTTCCCCACAGAAAATTGTGGATTTAACTGCCTCAAAGTACTTGAACAACCTAAATCCATCAACACGAGAAGATTTCAATGGTTTTATACGATATATTATGAAAGAGATGCGCAAGGTTAGTTGATTGTAAGCCTGGAAGCTTCATAATTACTGTAGAGTGCGGTTCTCTGAAGATTCTTGAAGAACTTTGGCAGGACTATTGTACAGGTAATCTTGGTCGAGTGGTGCAGGAATGCCTAGTAACGGAGGATATTCTTAAAGAACTTGGCCTTTCTGAGATAAAACTGACCACGACCATCGACGAAAAAGACTACAAAGATTGTCAAAAGTACTTAGCAGGGTGTAGGTATGAACTATATGGTACATTAGTATAGGCCCTTTTGCCCAGGGGGTTACGTACTCCGGATTTCAAGTGATAGGGATGATTGAAGGTTTTTTTTGGGTTTGAAAAATGGCAAGTATCTTTTTGGGTAGCTTGATTTAAGTAGGGATTTTTTGGGGCATTCAAAACAATCTGAAGATTCGTGATAGTTCCTACGTATCCCGGACACGTAGTTCCGCGAATATATTTTTATGGCTTGGAAATTGGGTATGGGATTGTTTTGGGTTTTGTTTGAAGCCCTAGGGATTTTTTTGGGTTTTGATTTTCCCCCGTTAAATCATCCCTGTCACTTGAAAAGCAACCCCTAAAGATGAGTGGATACGCGAATATTTAGTGACTACGTATCCGCTTATCCACTTTGTCACTACGTATCCGTGTATCCACTTAGTAAATATCTTTTAAATAATAGTCACTGCTTTTTTCTTATCCACCACGATATACACTTAAGACAGCATATAAAGCTTATAGTATGTCTATTTGTCGTTCGTCAAGCCACTGAAGGTAGAAAAGCGCATAAAAGGAAAATCTGCGTATCCACGTATCCAGCTCTTTCAGGGATACAGCTTTGAAGTGGCAGGGTATGTAAAATAACGGAGCAAAAACGGAGTCCAGCCTATAAACTCTGAAACATTTTTAATATATTGGCCTAAAAGATTAAACTGCTTTTTAAGTAAAGCTACTAAATTTACATATAACTGTTCCAAACAAAAAGATATGAAAAGACCTAATTAACTATGGGGGTTATGTAACTGGTTGCATAATACTTGTCACAAATTGTATGCTTTGACAACACTTAATGAAAAGCGATAATGTAAGAGGTTACTCTGCTGTTACTCCGCTGACAAGATAATTATTGTTGCTTAAACCCAGTCAAATCACAGTCTGTAGTGAAATGGTCAACATTCCTGGAATCATGATAGATTTTTAATACATCGAACGTGGGTTTTTGAGAGGCCAACTTTTATTATTATTGTTTTTTTGGTGGGGAAGGAAGGTTAAGAAAAGAATCCTTGAAACAGACTTGGAAAAACAAATTCTTTCACAGAATTGAGAGTCTTATATTGATAAATAAGGAAAAATCAGCCACAGTATTAGGTTTGGAAAAAAAATCCTGGCCCAAAACTAGCAACCGAGCCCTCCCCTTCCTTCCTCCCATATACACATTAACTACCCCGCACCAGCACCCGGTACGAAGGTCTCTGATAATGATCTAATTTTCCAGCGAGCTGAGTTAAAAAATAAAGATGTAGATGTAAAGCTAGGTCGTCATTGAAAACATGTTGTTTCCAATAATCTATTAAGATAGAGAGTGCACTTAAATACAGGCTTTTTTAAAAACTAGCAAACTATAACCGAAAAACAAAAAAATTGTCCGCCAAAACGCACATTAAATGCAAATGGCGATGCTTTGCGCTATATCTGTTCTTTGTGCGAGGATACTAATACGTTTAGGATGTAGATATATGCGTTTTACACTAGTTCTCCAAAACAGCCCTTAACCTACTAGTACGTAGCTCCTTCTTCAAGGCGATAAGCCTAAGCTTATATTGTCTGCGAGTGGTTATACCTTGTTATTTCGAAGAGTCTTCAACACCTGTAGTATCGAAGAGCCACGTCTGTACGTCGTTAACACGAAACTCCACCGCCACGGCTAAAACTTAAAAGACGATATCCAATTGAAAAAATCAATATCGAAGCAAGAAAAAATCAAGAAGAACGTATAAACGGCGTTTTACGTTTATGTATATATAAGCTTAAAGTCGTTATTTTTGCGCGCTCGTTTATCCAAAGATAATTTGATCCAAAACCAGTGATTGGTTCAAGTGTTCAACGTGATCAAATCAATGATTTATTTGCGTGATCGAGACAAATGATTGTTATAACTCTCTCTGAGGGTTAAAAAAGCTAACTCATATTGTGAGTAATTTTACTCAATAAAATCAGTAAAATGTAACACTTTATTAAAAATTGAGTTATCTTAGCTCATTTGTAAAAATGTTTTTTTTTACTGTGCGGGAAGAAAACAAGGTTGAATTCTTCGAAGGACAATTTCGCACCGCAAAGTTTTCCTTTGTCCACAAAAAGAAAAGTGAGCATTCTTTTGAACTTTCCCGTTCTTTCAACGATATTGAACAACGCAAAACTTTGGCCTTGGTGAAGAAGTTTGATATCGGACTGTCCTTTGGCGACGGCGTCCATCGTGAACTAAATCGATCACGTGACGAACACGGTTGATAATATGTTTCATCTGCAAAGCATGCCGGGAAGGGTGTTATCTACTCCTTCCCTGGATCGTTAACATTACGATTCAAGCGAATTTTACAAGGATTAGTATGGAGTCATCAGAGCAACCCGCTCCTCACCACTTTGCACTAACAGGCTGATTTTCGGTAAGGGGGCTTTTTTTATCTCTTTCCTCTGAATATGATAGCCAATCCCATAATTTCAAAAATTTGAATTTCTGTGACGTCACACTTGTTTTCTTTCTTAATTCAATGTTGCAACAATCTTCGGCGGTATTACACAGTTTTCATGACCCTTAAAAATAATGAAAGTAGGTAAAAATATTCAACACGTAATTGCAATATGTAAGATGCTTGTCAGATAACTTCTGATAAACAACAGCTTTCGATAGATTAATTTGATGCTCTTAGCCCTTGTTACGCTAGAATCTGATACCGAAACACAGCAACTGAGCAATTGAAAGACCTTAATCAACGATATATAAGAATGAAGAAGAGGAACTTAACACAATTAGGGCGAAGGAAAGTTTCTTGTATTTTTAGCGGAGCACCGTGGTTAAGAAAATTTGGTAAACTATCCATTCGAGAAAATTTGGTTTTGACGTCACCGTACGTCCATACGGACTCTCCGGGTAGGGGTAAGTGGAAACGAATTCCCCCCCCCCCCTCCCGTAGACAGTTTTGTCCGGTATTGTTTCAAAAGCCTTTAGAAATGATTGACAAATCAGAATCTGTCAACTGACCACATGTTTGGTGGATTTTAGGAGCCGGCCATTTAACTTTTGAGGGGATTATGGGTGATTTCAGAAAAATATATATCCTCCAGTCTGATTTCAAGAGGAAAGAAGAATGCAAATAGATTTCTGGGAAAAATAATATCCTGCACTGAAAAAATATCGCTCATGACGTATAATAGTGAAAAAAAAATCGTACACCGTTATGTGCCGGGGAAAAAATTCTTACCCAAACTAAATCAGTAAAATTACCCATACGTCCCTCCCCCACAAGCGTCCAATGGTCATGTCAACCATTTAGGGGGCAGGGGAAGAAACGGATTTGACACCTTAGTAAATGTCATCCATCAACAAAAAGGCTGCCGCGCGTTCATCAGGTGGTGGTTTTCAAGACTAAAGTTTTGCATTTCAAGATTGAAAATACGCCGATTTAAGACACAAGTGGAAAGAGTAAGTTCAAAAGAATGTTTAGTTTCCTTTTTGTGGACAAACGAAAGCTTTTCGCTATGAAATCGTCTTTCGAGGAATTCAACCATGTTTTCTACACGTCGTATCGGAGCGCTTGGCTTGTTTTGAACCAAGCATGGCAGCGAGGCCTTCTGAAGACACTTGAAGTACATTCTGTGCTCTATCATCAAAGAAAAGTACGTTTTTAAAAGGGAATTTTTGTATTTATAAAGGTTTCATTTACGTTTTCCACATTTTGACATCGGCGTGAAAGAAAAAACTCAAAATGCGCATTTGAAATTGATTTTCTGCCATGTGCTCGACCGATTTAACTTACGTGAACGCAGCGATTTAACTTGTGTTACGCGAATTGCCTTTTAGGATTAACTTATTTATCTGTCATTGTTCATTCATAACATTAGCTCAAAGAACGACCATGATACTACAGATCGTGAGATTTTTAGAAACATTCAGACGGGCCCTTTCTCGAATTAAAACTGAAGTGTTGTTTTTGTACATGTTCCGCATTGAATTACTAGTTATTTTCTCATTCATTACTTGCCATTCAAGAATTTTGCAGTGTGTAGATTTCAAGAATTTCTGCAGTTTTGCACTGTGCAATGTGTTGCTCTTTTTACATAACTTGTGCCCTGAATACAGCTGAATACCGCTTGAATGAAGTTTACTGAGTTTGATTTCAGTTGTTTGTTTACGGCCTGATATTCTCACCAAAAAAGTGAGCTTATCTAAAATATGAAAGAGTTCTCCTCTATTCTAAAACGGACAGACTCGTCGGCTTTTCGAGCCCGAATTTGTCTTTTTTAACAAAAAAAAAAGTTGTAAGTAGCGGTATTAACGTTTATACATGTATTGGATTATAGCGGAGCTCTCACGCGCAAAGCGCGCGCAGCGGAGCACCATGGGTAAGAAAATGTGGTAATCTAGCCATCCGAGAAAATTTGGTAATCAAGTTACGGTACACCGCCAGCCCGGGAGTCCGTCCGTCCGCATCACAGGCATACCAATGTAAAATAACTCAACCAACAGGTATGGCAACCCAAATGCAAATCGAGCTTATTTTGGCGAGAAATCGCATAGCCACCCGCGTCTTGTAAAACAGAGGCAGCTAAAGAGTGAATTAAGACGAAAACGGAACGCGGAAATTCTGTATCCTTGTTGTCTAAAGTATTAAGCTTAGATTAATTGTCATGTCCACAAATTTGGAAAAGACAGAGAAAAAGAGAGAGTAGGCGGCAGGCCAGCGAAACCCAACGACAGAGATCTATAGCGAGAGATAAAAAACAAAGGAGACATTTTC